ATTAATTATCCAAGGAAAGCAGCTTTTGTGAAAGGCTGTAGTCCTAATTTGACAAGCATTATACATGTGCAACTCCTTCACAGATGGACATCCACAAGGCTGAAAGCTGTCTGGATTTGGCAGAGCAGTCTGGAGTTCCTTTCCTAATCAGGAGTGTGCCTTAGATGTTGATCCTGCAAAAGGTGATGTAAGAGGAGCTAGGAATAGGAGCTAGAAGCTACAGTTTGCAGTACTTAGATTGAGGGTAGGAGTCTCCATCAATTTGTCACATTATGTGAAAAAACATACAGTCTAATCTTTCATTGTAATCAAATATGGTCCCATTTTGTCATGTTTGGTCCCTAAATGAGGCACTGTCTGTCACTCTTTAAAGGAGTGTAGCAAAAAAAAAAAACCTGTAAGATTCTACCTGTAAGATATGACTATAGCCTACTACATTTTCATTACTAAGGTATATGGGCTGGTTAATTAAACACCAACCATGTTTTTTTTTTCAGTCTTTTAAAGACATTTTATGAAGACTAGGACCTCACATCAAAAAATATATGTATATTTATATTAAATAACTTTTCAATATTAGAATTTTAAGCTATAATAATTCACCCTTTTTTAATTTCAACTACAATATTTGAGCCAGAAAATCTTTATTTTATTTTCCTAAAGATAATATTATAGTTGTTTCTTACAGGGAAATAAAACCAGTGGGCTTTGTAGCAGAATTTCTTCTAAAAAAAGAATAAATAAAAAAAAAATTCCACCACCTACCCATTTATTTATTTTATCTTACCAATGATTATTCCTAATGCATAACTTGAAAAAACAAGCAAGATGTGAAAGTGGCTACATGTTCGTTTTCAGCACTGCATTATAGAAAAAAAAAAAAAATGCCATTGACTTTGTGTTAATATATACTGTAATATAGTCTACCATCAGTTAGCAAAAAGAAAAAAAAGATTTGCACTCCTCTGTGAAAGAGGAGCAAACTGAAATTCTTGATTTCTACCGTTTCCTAAATAAGTTATTGCCTCCATTTTTTAAAAGACAGACTTAGTGTAAATTAGTTTTTCAGTTAAAAAACATATGTGAATGCAGTATTCATTTTTATATAACCTGTGATGTGTTTAATGACTTCCACCGGAGGCTTTTTCACAGTAGATATGCTTCATATATGATGCCCAAGATGTTAGACAAATAAGTAAAATACTACAAAAGGACATTCTTAGACTTTTTTAATACTATTAGAAAGAGGAAAGAAGAGGCAATAAAACTACACATTTTGGTTAAAAGGAGAGTTTTTTTGTTTTACATAGAGGAAAAAGGATGTCTGGTTGCTTTTCCACTGCAGCCTCATTTATATTATGCTTCCTAATAAACAGGTTCTGCATGTTTTCTTAACAGTATCTCAAGTTCAGGTATTTTGGATGGAAAACACCAAGAATTTGTTGACTTGCCCTGAATGTATCAGAATCAGTGTCAGGGTTCCTGTGTGTGAGTTAGTGCGAGTTGTGCATCTCTACCATAGAGGATCTTTGTGGAGAATTTAGGTAGCCTACACAGGTGAAAGTAATCTTTATAATAGTAGTGCTGGGCTTAAAAGTGCACCAGAGCCTTCATTCAGTTCTGGTTTCTTGTGTGCATTGAAGTTGTTAGTTGCTTCCTAGTCTCTTGCTTCCCTTGAGTATTTTTCCTGATGTTTATTGGTTTTGTTTGATTTTCAGTATTTTTGTATTTTGGATTTTTGCCTCCGTTTCCCTTGGACTTACATTAAACCATCCAAACTCGTCCGGCCGTCTGCTCTCTGCATTTGGGTACTCAAAACCTCCACCAAACCTGACACATTCAGGGCAAGTATTTCTCTTTTCGATTAAAAGCTTAAAACAAACAGAATTAGTTTCTCTCATAACAGATCAAGAATCCGTCTAAAAACATTTGATAATAGCTGCAGTGTAGAATACAGCAACAGATATCTAGCAGTCATCAACTTTGCTATAACTGATATGATGACATTTATTTGTTCTATGATGAGAATTTTTTTTGTGTTATTGTTGAAATTTAGTTTTCCTTTAAGAAGTTGTAAAAGGATTTAAGCATTTCCATACTCAAACATGTTTTCCTTTGGTTTTCCCTTTAGTTAATTTGAACAGGGCAAACTCTATTTTTATCTTCACATTACCGTTTGTCATATCCACTCAGTTGAAGACAGAGAATGTTTTTTTTTTTTCCGAAAATGTAAAAGTCTGGGACAGATAAAGACGACAAATCATGTCTCCTCTTGATGCCTTGCAGTACCCGTTTTATTTTTTTCATTGTTTCCACAGCAGCAACACGCTGTTTGAGTGCTCGGATTAAAATGTGCGCACTAAAGGATAGCAAGTTTACATGTTCTTTGAACTGTAAAATTCTCCACTGAACTGCTTAAATCTCAAGAAAAATCAAGGCTGTGCTCTAAAAACTATTACCAGTTTTTTACACTTCACTGGCCAGCTGAGCACTCTCCATTGTGAGCAGCACCAATCAATACGAGTACTCCTCCTAACTCTGAATTGCAGTTCAAATGAGGAGGTCTCTGTTTATAAGGATTAGTTTATCTTTATCTTGCAAGAAAAGGGGAGTTTTTATCATCTTGTTAAATTCCTGAACTAGAAACCTCCCTCGGTTTCGCCTGCTTTAAGGTCATCCTGTGCTTCAACGCTCCCCTTGGTCATCTTTTTGAACAAAAGGCGTTTTTTTATGAGGGTCACAGCTAAGTGTCCTCCCTTGTGTATATTCACACTTGTCTCCTACTAAGGCACAAGATGTTAGATTTAATAATATTACATGAAGTGGGCTACAAATTACGTACTTTTTATTTCCTGTGAAAAAATAACAAAACAAGCTATCATTTTTGATTTACAGACCACAAGAATGGCTGTAATCACCATAATTGGATGACCATAATGTTGCTGCCTTTAAACGAGCTGCCATTAAACTGACTAAAAGGCAAAGGGAGGCAGAACACCATTTTTATCATATTTGTTCAAAATCAAAGACCACAACAGAGGAACATTCCTGCGGGGGAACACAAAACATAAGAGTGGATCATTATGCACTTGGTTGCCGCAGTGAGGCCAAATCCCTTTCAGTGGAATAAAATTGGCTGTGATGTGTAACAGATGTGACTGTTTAGAGGGATTCAGAGAAGCTAGAATCAGCATTTCATCTGCACAAGCTAAGCAGATGCAGAGATCCATATCTAAAATCTGTGCTGGTGTACAGAAATTTGGGATCTCAGGAGTTTTTCCTCAATCCAAAAAAAGAAAAAAAAAAAAAAAGAAATCCCTTTTAACTGATTTATTCATCCAACCCGTGTATGTGATTTTGAGGACCCCAGTTTATAACCACAACAACATCTGGAATATCAGCAATATTTCCATCTGTCTTTAGCAGTCTGATTGGAGCAGCACGTGTGTCCTCTGTGCAGAAGCAGGTGCAGCACTCTTTCGCTTTGTATTCCTCTGTTTATCCCACTTATGACAACCACAAGGGTCCTTTTGAAGAAAACATTGCCCAATTCCCCCTAATCAATAAAAGCTCCCTCCAGCATATGCAGCCGTTGCTTGTGTTTGTGTCCGGCCACAGATGTCGCTCCGTTGTGTTGATTCGTCAAACAAAAAAACACTTCATTGGTGTTTGAGTTTGTCAAGCTTGCTAAGCTACAGCTAAGCTGTGTGTGCAGCCATCTATATTACTGTTGATTAAAGCCTCTCGGTATTTACTCTGCAACAGCTCAAATGTTCCCAGAATAAAAATTAATGTAAAGAAAAGAGATTTTAATGGATTTCTGTTTTTTGTTCTTCATTCAGCCTATGTTGATATGCTAATGGCTAAATTAAAGCGCTGCATTCATAGTGGAGGATTAGCACTTTTTTTATTATAAAGTCAATCCCTTGAAAACAGGCAGACAGCTTCTGTATTTCCCTTTTGTTCGCTTTTTCGAATGAAATAAGAAAATTGTTAAATACTAGTGTAGAAGTTGTTGCAGAAAATCTTACAACTAAAATGTGATTAAATCCAAAAAGGGCCAAATACACATGGATTATTCTAATCTTATTAAATAAGTTTTTATCAATCTAAACTATGGTCTGTCTGTCTGTGTTTCTGTCATAAATCTTTTATACTTTTCAGTTAAATTATTTTAGTCACATCAGCAGACGATGAAAAAGGGTTTTTGTATGCCATTAAAATTGACCCCAGTGTTGCTTTTGTTTCCAAACACAAACTATGCCTAACCGCGTGCAACCACTCACTAGCAAACGTGACACCTGGGTGTTTCATATGCAAAGTCACTTGAGAACAGACAACAAATTTTCTTCCAAAATACTTCTGTTAGGCAACAAGATACATGTTGCCTAACATAAGCGATACAGAGGATGCGAATAAAAGCAACATATGGCTCTTATGTGAGGCGTAATTTGAGCCATCTGTGTGAAATACAGGGGATGTCAGTTTCTCTTGTTTTCTCGTCAAAGCAGAAATGATTCTGATGGCTGCTTAAACTTCACCCCTGGGATAACAAAATCACTCAGTAGCCTGAGGAAGATGCAAAGAAAGACGAGTTAGCTCCCTTTCTTTGTAAACTAGGACAACTATGTATTATGCAGCACTCAGAATCATAGCAGGTGATGGCTTTGGCTGATTTATAAGATAGGAGGTAGATGTATTTAGGTCATTTCTTAAATGAAGGAATAGGTTAGATGCTAAGGTTAAGAGCCAGACTACTATGGCATGCAGTCGCAAGAAGGAGGCCAGTATCTTGAATTAAGGAAAGAATGAAAAGGGTGTAGCACCAGAATTTGGCCTTTTGATTAAGGATCTAATCACTTTAACACTTTCACCGTTTGCATCCCACACTTATGTCAGTAACGAATAACAGCCAGTTTTTTTAATGATGTGGCAAAACCAACAATTGATGATCAGAATGGAATGATGATAGAGAGGTCAGTGAAATAAAATCTAAATACCTGAACATAGTATCGACATGAGCGCTCTCTCTTCTGCAGCTGTAATTGAAAGGAAAAGCAAAGGAGAGTTAGCAAAAGATCAACAACTCCAACTAACGATGCATAAGATATCAAGACTGGAGTTTTCACTGTTAGACTCTTGAGAAACACTGTTAGTTCATTTAATATCAAAGTTTCGCATGTCGGATGAATTGCTAAAATACGTTTTGTTTTAACTGTCTTTATAAAGATGTGGATAAAAGGTTAAATGGAACAAAATATATATTTTTTAATTCAATATTTCATCAGAAAAGCAAGCTGCAATCTTAAGGCATACTCTTAAGACCTTGGTTTAAATAATGTCTGTCCATGGTCAAAGTGAGGACTTAGTGCTTAAAGCGGATTTATGATTAACTGGGAATTCCTAATCTTACACAGAGATGTGTTTTAGTGATTTTGTTTTGGACTAGTCTCTCAGTGACAGTTTGCATCCCTAACTAGGAGACAGATGTTAAGACTTACCTAAATAATTATCTCCATCTCCTGGGATCTAATAATCATTTCCCTTATGCACTGAGAGTCTTTTAAACACCACTTGAGAAAGCATAGATTGGTTCTCATGTGTCTGCTTTCTGATTGATGAACTGCTGCTCTGATCTTCATGGCATGTTCTCACATCTCAGAGGACAATCTACAGCTCTGTTAGAGAGCATACTAATAAAATCCCCACTTACCCTAGTTTTATTAGTCGGCCAACCTGAGGAGGAGTCCTAATGTTTTCACACTCCCTCCGCCTCGCCAATCACTGAGGTCCTTTTACTCCTGGGAGCACTCAGAGATTCAGCAATGGTCATACCCCTTTGCCCCGATCTATGCCTCACTGCAGTTTCACTACAGATGTCTATAAAAGGTTCTATAGAGTTGATGCTTTTCATTTGTACTGACAGGTGTTGTTAACTCAGCCGCAATATTTACTAGTACTGTATTCCATACTAGCATCCACACACTTAAAGAAGCAAGCAAAGTATAACTATAAATTAACCCATTCTTCCTCTGCGACAGTATTGATCACTTTTTATTCATTAAAAAAGGCCTATTCGTATAAATTTTAAATACAAAACATCTGACAAAAAATTGGAAAAAGGTTCCATAAAGTTACACCCAAGGATTATTATTATACAAAAGAAAAAGTACTGTATGCCATAAATAGTAAATATTATTAGTATTAATAGTAAAAAGTAATAGATGTTAAAGCTGATTATAATAAAATCTAAAGGTGCAGTACGTTACTTTAAAAAAAAAGGTATGTTTTACATATTGGCTGAAACTGTCGCTAAATACTCAAAGTGACATTTGTTACAGATAATCTGGCTAAAATGTGGTGCAGCTGTACGTCTATGTAAAGCTCTTTGTTCTCTACTAGACTGCTTGTTAAAATCTTTAGGCTAAGACGAGAATTTTCTTAAAACTCACTACTGCAGGTTTAAGGCTTGTTTTAATAATTATTTATTTATTTAATATATACTTATTTAGACCATCTTCTTAGGAACAACTATGAGGTGAAACACATCACAATGCGTGTTCTCATTACAAAGGAAAAATCAAGGGTCTCTTATTAAACAATGACATTTTTGTAAGAATGAATTTTTTTGTATCATGTTGGACAATGATTTAATTACTATTGTCTTTTAGGAACTTTGAAACAGCAGGATGTATGCTTCTGTTTGAGCAGCATGCTAAAAAACAAATGTTTTTAATGTCATTTGGCCTAAGTAACATGGTGGATTAGTGTGTACCTTATGCACTCAATCTTTTTACAGAGTTATTAATACATCAAAACATGTTTTAATCTTTCTGAATCTTATTACATAAACTAAATACAAATCTTGATCTTACAGTAGGTAGTTTAAAGATAAAAAAAAAAAAAAAAGAAAACAACAACATTTTCAATAACTGCATTTTTTACCAATGGGTTTGCAAAATGCATTAAAACTGCTGGTCCACTACAGGGAATTGCAAAAGTAAAAAAAAACTAAACAAACACAATACATAATTCCCAACTTCAGCTGGCCCAGTTTGCATTAACACCAAAACAATTTTATACCGGGTCAAAAAAATGTCACAATGCAGGCGAAACAGATAATTTCAGGGGCAGAACTGTTTCAGTATCTCACTGATTTCAAAGAAATAAAAGGAAAAATAACATGAGGAAAAAGATGTATCTCATTGACTGCTCAGGGTCAAATATTCTCTTATCCTATTCCCAACAAACATTATAAAGCAACACAGATCATGGCAGTGTTGGGGTTTATGTCACTGCTTTAGTGTTTCTGTTTGAACCACTCCAGGGTTTGAATAAACTGTTCAGAGACAGGCAGTTGCAGCCGCGCCAAGATACGGTTCTCTTGTTTGTTTCAGCGTGTGGGTAAGGTTTAAGTCACCAACATGGTTCACTCTAAAATCTACACTCTGGCGCGGTAAAAGCATTTTAAGCTTTTGTACAAAAATCTGTCAGTGAGAAGCAGTGTAAGAAAAACTGTAATTCTCCCTGTGGTGCATTTTAATAAGATGAAGGTAGTTTTCACCTTTAACAATGGTGAGGTAAAGATTAATTACAGTAGGTCTATTGGATAATTTCTAGTTTACATACTTAAAATAATGCTTAGATGGACTGCATTTTAAGTTATGCACTAAATGAAACCTTAAACAACTCTTTAAATTAATCAGGAATTAGTTAGGAATTTGGACTGCAATACTACTCAAAAACTGGAATAAAATATTCCATGCTTTTCACAGATTATAAAAAGTCAAAAACTTCCCTCAAAAAGTCTGTCTTTATTTTCTCTTAAAAGCTGGGTATCTATCATTTAAAAATATTTTGTACAGTTTCAAATTATTCAGCATCATAAAGGACACCATTACTCAAGATGTTTCCATTTTGCCACAATAGGTACCTAAAAATAGAGCTAATGAGGAAAAATACAACATTTTATTTGTATAAATGTGAATTCATCACACTACAAAGTGAAAAGTAATGCTGTGAGGCAACTGTGGTTTAATTACACACCATCTTGGAGAAACGGTGTAAACAGTGTTAATTAGCCCAGAAATTAGACAGGGTGCAAGTGGGGAAATACTTCCAAGTGTTCATAAACCTGATTTTGGTATCATTTATTTCATTTCCTGTGAGAGCACCAGAGAGCTAGTTAACATCTAAGCCATGTCTAACACTGAAGGAGATATAATGCGAGGAGAAAGTTAGAATTCCCTGAGAAATTACATCTAACACTGGCTCAAGGATTGGAAGACGGAGCCACACAGGGAATGAATGGCTCTAATTGAGTCCTGATAGAGACATTCACCAGAGCCACTGTGTGGCTTTAACAGCCTGGGCCTGGTACCATACTAAGTCCAGATCAGATTAGCTGCAAAGACAACCACTTTCTAATAATGGAGCCAACATCATGCCCACTCCTCTGGAAATAGTCCCATCTCTTCCATTAGCCAGTTACCCTTTGATCACAAAAACGGCACTGATCTTGGCGTTTGCCAATTCAATCTTTTCATTGTCAGCTGGCAGTGAGTTGTGCTTTGCTGCCCAAATAGGGAAAAAAAAGATCTTTAATTCGTTTAGCTCACTGCAGATTGTGTCAAAAAGATTGAACTTGAGAGGAACAAATCAACCACTGCTCGAGCAATGAAAAAGATTTCTAGAGGAGAGCTTTGAATGGCGATGGAAGCTTAACACAAGCAAAGGCTACAGGGTCATTTTTCTCCATCGTGCCACAGTGCAGCAAACATTGATGGTATATCTGTGGGCTGAGAATAATTTATCACTGGATCGCCTCTGACCCCTTAAATAAATTATCCTGCCTGTAAAAGCTTTTTTTTTATGTTATTCCACTCAATATACCTGGTTTTTCCCCACTACTTCATAACATACCGAAGACAAAAACAATCCCTAACACGGCACCTCTAGCTAAAATGTTTAATTTAATGAGAAACTTTTCTGAAGTGGTGTTATAAACTCTTCTTGATGCTCAATGTGAATTTATTCATCTAACTTTACAGCCTTCCTACTCTGGTGCTGGAGAAAACTGCCGCTTAAAGCTCAATGGGACAGCTGTGTCTGCAATAAAATAAAAAATGCTCAACCAATTTAAAAAAGAAAGCAATCTGAGAACAGGTGCTGCAGCAAATCCCAGAATTACATTTCCAATTTCGCTAATGCTTGCTGCTCAACAGAAATACTATTTACTCACTTTACTGAACTGTTGATAATGAGGAAATAACGTCATTACCTAGAAGCCCAACAGACATAAAAAATAATCTATTGTTAATTTATTGTTAAGAGACATCAAATTGACTTATTTGGCAATAACAGAAAAATTGTAAATTATTTTTACACATGATTAACATCTTGTAAAAATTTTGAAAACAATCCAAATACACAATCTTATTATATATTTTGACCCCAAAATCTTATTCTTGTGGTTTGTTGTAGGTACCCTTAAGCAACAAACACATTACACTATAATGTAGTGTGGTTTGTTTCCCCTCTTTTCTTATTAGCCTTCTAAAATGTCACTTCTCTTCCTGCTTTGAGAATGCTGGGAAGTGGCAAGCATTCACAATGCTAAGGGTATGCATGATCAATGGCGATGGTGGAAATCGAGACTGTGCCAGGGCACAGGATTGGTTCACGTTTGCATTATCTGCTCCAGAAAAAGGTAAAAGAAAAATTATATCAAAGGTTTAGTGTAAAAATAGTTATTAATTTGCATGATGCTTCTAGTGAATAGCATGGCTGAGTGTTGGAGCTCCAAAAGGGGCTTTTTTTTTAATCCTCATTAGCAAAATCCCAAGTTAGCATATATAGGACATTTAAACCCCATAATCTATTATTGCCAAAGTCATAACACTCTGCAACTATATATAGATTCTTTTTTTTTTATTATTCTAATGTCGAATAGGGGCAATTTAATGCTGATAGTCAAATTGCATAACATTTTAAACACAGTGCTACAACTGAGTAAACTCTTCAAAAATGTTTTGAATATTTTTTTTATTTTGTATATTAAAATATATTTACCTGAACAGTGTTGACAATAAGAGCAATAGGTCATTGTTTCCTGCAGGTTATGTTTACCCTGCCTGTTAGACTGCCAGAATATGTTTAAAGGCAAAAGGAAAGTATATTTAGCTGAGCTTGAAAGCGGGTTTTTTCAGTACCTTGTTGAGGCTTCGTGCTGCGCTGTCTTTGCCGCCCGGCGTGAGGTTCCGCAGCTGGACGTCGAGCAGATCTACCAGCTGAATCATTGCCCTCACGGTATAGGTGATGTCGCCCGCATGAAGGTTGCTCTTGGTTTGTTCTGCCAGCTCTCTGGCAATAACTGCTGCTGTCTCTCCAGCTTTTATCTGGGAAAAAAAAAAAAAAAAAACTTTAAATGAAGATCCTAACTCACATTATCGCTTACCTTGATTAAATCTTAGGTATTCTTTCAAAAGGTAAAACCTGTGCACTGCCTACAAGGGAATAGAAGATAAATCGGAATCTATCAAAATAAATTCGTCTGACCTAAGGAATTTTTTCCCTCACTGCTGTAACATTGCAGACAATATATGTACACTAAGCTGTCTACTTACAGAGTTAAGTCTACACCAGGGAAACGTGTTATATCTGCTGTTCTAATACTGTTGAGTGAATATTCCCAGACAGCATTATACATTTATAACGCTAATGCAGAATATAGCCATTTGAAAGAGGCAATATTCTATATATTAATGGGTTATGAGGGAGTTCATTGCTTTTACACCAAGGTCCTTTTATTTCCAAGATCAAAAATTGAGAGATAATTTTATTTTTTATTTTGGTTAAAATTATTTTTAATTAGATCCATTAAAAGGAGCAGAATGAATTTAGGTTTTCTAGTTATATGAAGCATAGATTAGCACCATGCTGCTCCATCAAAAATGTTGCATCACAGTGCAAGAATAAAAAGAGACTGAAGTAAAAGACTAAAGGAAACTTCTGCCTTGCTTACAGAACGAATTAATTTCTCTGCCAAAGAAAATCCTAAGAAAACAAGGAGGTAGAAACTAGGTAGTGAGTGCCACTAGTCTTAAGAAAACACTTCATTAAATCACATTTTTTCTTTCTCTTTTTGTTATCTTACGGATATTAAACTAAGATTTAAATACTGTTTGGCTTATTTCAACAAGCCAACACAGGTATGAATTGAATTTTGGCTTCAAATTGCAAAAAAAAATGGTTCTTATCCAAGGATCCTTGATGACTAATGTAAAATATCTTGATTTACGATTTACTGCTTTTGATGGTAACTTCAAGAAAAGGATATTAGGTAAGAAAGTGTGCAATTTCTAACTATAAGAAACAAAGAAATATATCTGAATGTTCATTTTAACTAGAGCTAACAAGCTAGTCAAAAAAAAAAGAAAATACAGTTAATAAAGAAAAAAATCATGGGACTTGCTTGAATAAATTGTTAATGTTGTTTTGTTTGATATATAAATACATTTTTCTTTTTTGTTAAAACACGTGTAACATTTGTTATCACTGTCATTTTTTTTTATCATGTAAATGGACGAAGAAAAAGCTATATTTGCTCCAAGAATCAGCCCAAAATTATTGGGAGCACATATTTGGGGAAATGGTTAAACAGATGTCAAAATAATCGGTATCCGCATCAGCCTTTAAAAAAAACTGCACTGGTCCATCTCTAGTACCAGTTGTCAGGAATATTGCTTCTACGCTAAATTTGAAAGAAACACAAATAGTACAAAAAATAAGTAATAAAAAAAGTAATAAAATCTTCTACTTCAGAGAAACAGCACACCTTTAAGTATTCCTATTATTAGCACAAGGGCGACAATGGCATTAGGTACATGACTCGGTGGGTTCCTCGTTAGATAATAATTATAATGAAAAAACCAGAGTAGGGTTGATTATATTAACTCCTATTAATTTGTAAGTTGTTGGTTTTTCAAACAAACTTTAAATTTTTGTTTAAGGTCAAAGAAGATTAAAAATAATACCCTAAACGCTGAAGTTTTCATTGAAGTGCATAATAACACAATACCTACTTAACCAATACTTAAGCAGTTTTTTCATTACTGAAATGCTCTAGAGTTTATTTTCTTTTCATTCATCACCAACCTCCTTAGAGGGGAACACTTTGTCTCCTCCTTCAGCTTTTTTTTTTTTCTACACAACTTTATCAACACAACAATTATTGGCAATAGATATGGGCAAGTTCTCTGTTAGTTCTCTAATGGATAAGAGAAACAAGCTTCTGCGTCATGGCATATTAACTCTCCAGAGAAATAGGAAGTAATCAATTACTAATTCAAAATCCCAGGACACAGGGATCCACTTAAAAAAGAACATTAATGAAATAAAAGTTTATGACCATGTAAGATGTTTTTACACATCCTTACCAGTGGTGCAACTACCTGTGAAATGCATTGTTTTTTTCTTCCATGATAAAACTCATCAGGAGCATGCAGTGATTATATATTCAGCAACTAAGACGTTAGTCAAAAGTGTATCAGCCTGATTCACTGTAGCGTTACCTGCCATCTCTGCCAGTGAGTTTATTAGGGAAGTAATTAGACTCCTTAAATTTCTCCTTGTAGGGGTGTGTGTGTGTGTCTGAGGAACATATCTTAGGAAGATGTTTTCGTCCCCGGTTTCCTTACGCTCATCTCCTAATGAGAAGAGTGGAGATAGTGGGTAAATAGCTCTGCTCCCTCTTTTTGTCTCATACTCTCTCCCCTTTCTGCTTGTCTGGTGTCATTTTGCTTCCCTTCCTTTACCATCTACGTCGTCCTTTCTCATTTTTTTCTCCCAAACATCTGGTAATGAGCTGTGATACTCGCAGGACAATCGCTATGGATATAATATAACAAAGCGGCAGATGGGCATTCCGAATCCCTGAAGGGTTGGTCTTCATTAGAGACTTCCTTTCTCTACCAAGACAGGCGTACCGCTCAACTGTCATATCTTTTGAAATATATAAAAAAAAAAATTCAAAGCTTTTTTTTATCCTAAAAATACATATATTACTTTATCAAGTTAGCTTTTTTGTAGATTTGCATAATGCAACAATAGTCTTACTGCTTCTGATGAGCAGAGCCACAAAGCAAACTTAAAGTAACTTTGCTGCATTTGTTCATTGATTTTCCAGTAATAATGTAGTCAACAAATTTAATGTACTATTCACAAATATAGCAGATTATTTTTTTTTCAATAGCCTTTCTCGATTTATATCTTCAAACTGCTTTCGGTCTGATGGGCTAAGTTTTCCCTGCAGAGTAACATGCATGCCTAAGGGTATAGCACGCTTAAAGTGGAACACTTTTACCGCTTGCAATTCATAAGCAGGAACACAGATCCTCACTGGCAGTCACCTTCTCATCTTTTTCTTTTTTGATTTGATTAGATATTGAACTGTAGGAAGGTTGAAATGAAGCTTTGCATAATAGCCTGCAGAGCAGAAATACAACTCATTTGTGCTTGAGCAATACAGCGAGCCAATAACCGCTGTATCATGTTTTAGAGGGACCACAGCATGGATAGAGCTTTAACTACAGTAGTCTATTACACAGTGCTGTTTGGCTGGATTGGGTTTCACTCCAATCTAAACACTTAGGGTCTACCCTATCCGTAGATAGAACACACTGTCTGCCTAATCAATATAATTAATGGACTAAATATGAGCAAAGAATAAGACAATAAAAAGTAGATTTGACTGAGTTCAACAGGTGTTTTTGTACTGAGAGCTGCTGCAAATGTTCTTAACAGAAGGGCGGGAGGTCATAGGCCTAGCCAGAGTTAGGACTGAGTCCTTAAGCATTTCTGATTTTATAAAATCAGCAAGTAAAGGATATGATGAATATTCTCTCTTCAGCTTGGTTCTTCATGTACTACAACGTTCTTTATTATACACACAACTGTATGTTTCACCATATCTACAGCGTTCTCTATCGGAACTGAACAAGTGTAGAGTTGATAGATGTCAAAATCCTAATAAAATCTATTGCTGTTCCAGCTTATTGCCATCTTAATGCGTTCCCTCAATAAAGGGTTTCTTGACCAAACAAAGCATGGGAAAACTGGGTTATGCTTTTAAGTTATTTTTTTTTTTATTATTTAATGGAGCACCAGCTCATTCAAAAGGCTAGATTCAAAGTCCTGACTGGAACAAGAAATAAACAGAACTGCCCAGAGATCTCAGTCTGCTTTAGGTCTCTGTTTGATAAACTTTAAAATATGTTAAAGTCTTCAATGTGGTTAAAACACATTTTAGGATTATTTCTAAGTATGAACCTATGGAGATCTGTTGGTTGAACGGATTGGGCCCCAGGATTGTCCCAGGATTCTCACTCAATGCTAAGTGCAAATTATAAACTTTCCCATATTTTTAAGATGTTATGAAGTAAAAGTTTAGTTTTTACCTTTTGGTTGATGATGTTTACCCATGGGGATGTACAGTTGCTGAAATCAGGCCCCTGCTGGTCCCAGTATCCTTCTGGACCCAAGCAAGTGAATGAAACCATACCTTTAAAAAGAGGACAGACAAGGTGGATTTAGAGTCACAGCAAAATAGCTTTTTTCTCTCTCTGTGTATTTTGTGTGTCATTCTACCCAATCAGCCTATCTGCATTTCCCATTTTTCCAATACCCTTTTCCCATTATAGACTGACACACCACACAATGCCTCATGGTTCCTCATCTACTGCCTGAGTCTTTTGTATGTCAAGCCCTTTCAGGTATTTGCAAAAATTGTACAAGGAAACAACATTTCTAAGTGATCCAATTAATGGAGTTTGGAGAACCGTAATTGCATGGTTTTATCGTAAACTGGTGAATATGAATCTGTTTCACTCTTGGCCTTCTCCTGGACTCATCCCGACACCGTCTGCATTTAATCCTTAACAGTCAGACAGTGCCTGCTCGCCTCGCCATTGAAGCCTTGCATAAGAAAGCAGCTACAACAAAAAAGGTGCCACTTAAGTCTGTGGCTGAAACCATGAGGGAAGGACAACAAAGCAGGCTGAAAGATGAACTATATAAATGAATTAATGAACCTGGGTATTAGTCATCAGTCATGATACACTGTACATTTTAGCATCAATACTAAGAGATCTTCATTGTTTTTTAAGTAAACCAATTGCATAATCACAGACAGAAGCTGAACAGGATGAATATATTCTAGATTATTTTGCTATGGTTTTGTATATCATTTGCTACCTTACCTTAAAATTCCATGCATGCACTTTCATTGCTTAGATAATCAAAAGCTGCACATTGACATTGAACTACTCTCACTTGTATACGGGCGGGGGGAGGAGTGCTTTTGCAGGTCGACACAGTCTGCATTAACAGATAGAAATTTTGATTGACATATAATTTCTTTTCCCGGTCCACCTTAGACAGCCCCGTATTTGATGGGTTTATACGATAAGCGACTCTGCATCTCACCACCAGGCTGAGGGACAGGACAACGGAGCATGAAAGAGAGGGAGAACGTTGGCTGGGGAGTCAGGGGAGGGTCGGGGGGGTAGAGACAGAGTGACAGCCAACGAAAAGACGTAGATGGAAGGGGGGCTCGGAGAACTTTCAAAGAGTGGCAGAGGAAGCTCACACGGTTGTGTTCTGCTTGACAGTGCTGTCTGAAGTGCAACAGCTTTGAAGAGCGCTCTGAGAAGAGGAGGTGGGGTACCAGCTCCTCTTATCTATGCCATGTGTTGGCTGTTAGTGAGTTCTCAATAAGAGCTGACGTTGCTCCGTAAATGAAGACGGCATGTATATGATGTTCATGTTTCTGTGCATTGACTGATGAACGGATTGGGCCCCAAGCTGAATATGAACATACTACAGGTTTGGTTTGGTTTGTTTGCAGCTGCCTCTAAATTTAGAATTATATGCAAGCTCTGCAAATTGTACATTTCCAAATGCATGCAAATACTTGCTCTGAAAGTAGAATAAAAAAAAAATAATAAAAAAAAAACTTTAAGAGAGTATTGGGACCATTGAAAATGGCAAAAAAAAATCTCAGCAATTTCCATTATTAAGACTTAAAACTAATATTTCTTCTTAAAGTAATATATTGGTTGGAAACATTTCAATTTGTCAGAAAAAAAAGTTACAATAAACACTAATAAAAAATAATAAACACTCCATGTCCAGAATGCAGACTTGCCACCCAAACTTCAAACAGTTTCCATATCACAAGCGTGAGAGGGTGAGAAAGAAACTCCAACATGGCTGCTTTGTCTGCTTGTGTCTGCGCCATGAACATGTTGTTCTAAAACAGAAATAAGCCCAGTTGTACCACTTCCTCATCGGGAAATATTCAGATGCAGCTTGCATAAATGTATTTACCACTTTAATCTGAATATCAATCTGATGACTTCTCTCTTTTTTTGGTCACAGATGTGTGAATACAGTATACTTTTGAGTTATTCTTTATTTTTTATCATACATTCTGAATTTACAATATCTAATAATATATGCATTTTTCTCTTAAAATTTTAAAATAGATAAAACAGATTTCTGGTAAGATAAATACTTTTACTTTTGTTCTTTGATCTGCAGTTTCCTTCATACTCTCTCAATACTCTCTAATTCTACAATAAAATTGTCTGAGGATGTAACTAAATATAGAACTCTTTATTCAAACAACTTTATTTCCTCTAAAATGAATGGAGCTATTGCTGTCATTTGCACAAAAAATACTCTTGATTTAGAAATTATGATTTTAACTGACAAAGTTACGGTACCTATTAAGTTATGGGACTCTTCCATCCACAGAACCACCGGCCCAATAATTCTGAACTTAGTTCTGTAGAGCGATTTAAAAAAAAAATCTGTTTCTACACTTAACAGAGCTTATACTTAAACAAAAAACCATTTGGTAATTTGGCCGAGTGAATCTGTGTTTTTCCCAAAGCTGTTCCCTGAATTAATGCAGAATTCACTGATGTTAAGCTGGTAAACATGTTATGCTTTGTCTTTTTTTCCATAACGATACTCCTGACCCAGTCCTTTGTGTTGAGCTGTTTCCCTTTCTTGGATAATAATGCTGACTACACAACTTCACGTCCAGTTGCCTAAACATTTTCAAGCTTGCCACAGTTATTGCAAGACCTCTTTGGTTTGTGTTAATTCCCAAAGAAATTTAAGAACAATCCCCTGGACTTTGTTTCCAAGTTTGAAGATGTTTCGCTTCCCATCCGGGAAGCTTTTTCAATTCAAAATGAAAACGTTTGTGTTAAAAGAAAGCATACCAAGCCCTTCATGATCAAAGGAATTAATGAAGCTATGGCTGCTATTTAGTTCCTTTTCTCCACCATATAAAGCATTTATGGTACATGGGTTCTGTGTTTACATAGACACTCATTGATGGCATTATTCCTTCTATTAATTTTTTGGACTCTATGTTTTCTGTTTATCAAAAGTACTCCTTATGGACCGATTCTGTCTCAGGTCCCTATTGAAAGTAGATTTTGGAACTGAATTAGGTTGTATATAGTCAATATTTATTATTATTATTATTATTATTATTATTATTAGTAGTAGTAGTAGTAGTAGTAGTAGTAGTAGTAGTAGTAGTAGTAGTAGTAGTAGTAGTAGTAGTAGTAGTAGCAGTAGTAGTAGTAGTAGTAGTAGTAGTCTACCAACTGCACATAATCACTAAAAGATCAACTGAGGCCATTACTTCAGTGTCATTTTTTTGTTTCTATTACCATGCAAGAAAGAAAAAAAAAACATTCTGCTTTGATGCAAAGACAGAAAATATTTTCAGACATAATGTTCTAATTTATAAAAACTTCTGATCATTAATTATCTACAGCTATTCTGCAGTGAAATCCAAAGTACAACAACAGCTGTTGGGTGTTTTAGTTACTAGAAGTTAGAAAAATTTGGCATCATGCTATCTTTAGTGCGGCATCAGTGAGTCGGGATCAGAAAGTCAATAGGGAAAGACAGGGAGAGAGCAAATTTGGGTTGTGCAGGGAGTGTAAACATAAACAAGAAGGAACACAAGCAACTCACAGCAGACTGGGTCTCCTAAGAATATTGACATTCTCACAGAGAAAGGAAATAGAGAAACAGTATACTTATTCAATAGGCAGAGGTTCTTTGATTTCAATGCATGGATGTTTGGGTTTGCATTGGATTAATCATAAATCTTGAATGTTTGCAGTTTTATTATCACTGCCTCCATCACACCACAACTTATCTTATATTTTTTCTCATAGAACATTTTTGAGAAGTTGCAATATAAAGATGGACTGCTGATTTACAAACTGGTTTCAAAGCTCTTGGTGGTATCTAACTTGATCAGAAAACTAAATGAAAATAAAATACACTATACTGTCAAAAGTTTTTGTTCAACCATCCAAATGATTGGAATCAGGTGTTCCAATCACTTCTATGGCCACAGGTGAATAAATAAACCACCTAGAACCACAGACTGTTGTTCCAAACATTTGTGAAAGAATGGGTCACTCTCAGGAGCTCAGTGAATTTCACTGTGGAACAATGCCACCTGTGCAGCAAATCCAGTCGTGAAATTTCCTCGCTCCTAAATATTCCACTGTCAGCAGTCAGCTGTATCATAAGAAACTGAAATGCTTGGGAACTCAGCCATAAAGTGGCTTCTCCATCTGGAAATCTGATGGACAACTTTGGGGTTTGGCAGTTGCCAGGAGAAACGTACTTGTCTGACTGCATTATGCCAAGGGTAAAGCTTGGTGGGGAGGGGATTATGACAGTTTTTTTTTTTTTTTTTTTAAGAACTGGACCTTGCCCCTTAGTTCCGGTGAAAGTAACTCCGAATGCTTCAGCATACTAAGACACTTTAGAATATTCTTGGCTCCTAACTTTGTGGGAAAAGTTTGGAGCTGGTTCCTTTCAATATGACTGTGGACTAGTGAGCGAAGCAAGGTCCATAAAGACATGGATGGCAGAGTATGGTGTGAATGACCTTGACTAGCTTGCATAGGATCGAAAACCTGATAGAACACCTTTGGGATGAATTAAAGTGGAAACAGAGCCATGATCTCTTCTCCAAGATCAGTGTGTTACCTCACAAATGCACGTCACAAATGCAATAGTCAAACATTTTCAGAATTGCAGTCTTACACCTTATGGACAGCCTTCACAGAAGAGTTGATGCTGTTCTAGTCACCAAGGATGGACCAATTTCATATTAAACCCCTGTTAAGATTGTGATGGCACTTAAGCTTGTATCTGAGTCACGGCAGGTAAGCAAATTTTTTTGGCCATATAGTTTATATTACTATACATTTTGTTTGGTTACCTTCAGAGACCTTTTAGAGCTGGTAAACTTCTACTGCACACTTTAAACGTGCCTGCATAAACCTAAAAACCTCTATAGTCTTTACCAAGTATTAAGCTTACGTTAGTTCACAGAGAAAAAGGCAGCTTGTTAGTTGTCCTTAAACGTTTGGCATCAGATGTGGTTAGTCTTACCAATGGTTCCTGATGGACATGGCATCTTGATGACTGTACCCTGTCTGGTCTTCGGCCAGGAGATGTCCATCATTACTATAGGATTGCAGTATTCCAACCTGATGTGCGGAGGACTGGCAGAAGGTGGTGCTGCATCATGGTCTTCAGGCCTTAAGGCATTGACTATCGTGTGCATGGGGGGTATCAGTGTGGATGTTGTCCGTGGCCAAACAGCCGCTGCAGTCGTTGTGACAGGCATTCTTGTGGTGGTCGTCCTAGATGTTGTGGTTGTCAGGGTGACAGTGGTAGGTCGAGTAGTGGCCCTCATTGTTGAAGTCATGACATCCATGTATACCATGACAGATGAGGAGGTTTCTGATAAACACAGAAGGGCAGAGGCACCATTAGAAAAAAAAACAACAAAAAGAAAGACAACAACAAAACAAATCAACTGTTAATACTTCAAATTCTTCAATCAGTTTTACCCAAGCTATGTTTTATTTGGAATTGCTATCTTTTTAAAACCCATATAAGGGAGGGCATGCTAGGGAGCATTATTCACCCTCTTTTTTCAATGTGTCAGTTTAAGAGAGGATAGTTCAAAGAGGATCAGTTGGAGCTGGCAGGTGTGACTACAATGCGCATGCATGGTGTCTACTTTAGGACCCCTGCCTGCTAAAGCAACATACACACATGCACACACACAAACGGCAGGAAAATCAAACTTCCAGCTGTGCATTCTAAATGCAGCTGCTAGTGGGGCCATATCTTTGCAAGTCAAAAGCATTTTTTTAAGTACATGCTATTTCTGGGTCAGAGAGGACAAAGTGGAATACCCATTTCCTGGATGTGGATCCACCCTGTGGTTACACTCCAGGAGTTGTTTGCTAATGATGTTATTTACCTGGGCTCTTGGGGGAAAGAGCTATCACAATAACACCAACACATTCTCACTAAGAGATGGTCCTTTACACTAGCTCAGCTATCTTTCTCCTCCTATTTAAATGCAATGCTCCAAGAGTCTTGAACATCAATCCTGCCTTGTATACTTTATTTACATTCTACAATTTCTTTGATATAAATAGAAGAAGGATTACTAAATTAATCTAACTGCAGGTTTTTTATGAATCTCTAAATCCCAGAAACCCATATAGAGTCTGAGGACACACATGGAATAAGACCTCATAATGCATGGCAAATGAACACAAAAAAGAAGAGTTTTGACTCATATATTCATCCAACTATTGTATAATAAGCATTGTGAATTTGCATCACCATCTTTGCTCTATTTAACAATGCCAGCATTTCTATATGTCACAATCTAATTACTGTATGGGGTTTGGTAGAGAAAGGCTTGCAGTGGCCCCTCTAAACGGATGAAAAAGGCCTTTCTCACTGACACACACAATTTGGACCTCTGCTAAAATGCAATTTGGGACAGCTGTCATTTCCTCCCAGTGCCGAAATACAATCAAAAAGACAGAAGTGACAAACGATCCAAATCTTTGTATGAAAGGCGAGCAAAACAAAATTTAATGAAGGTCAATTTAGCATTGGCAGGTTTAATGGACATGGCGTAGCCCAGTGAGCTCAGATAACACAGAGGCAAAAAAAAAGAAAGAAAAAAAGTTAGATGACTTTCAATTTGCAATGGAACAATATCTTGGCACCGCAAATTTGCAAAGGGTAAAAGGAGATGGCATAAATTAGAGCAGAAGTTTTGGATGCCTAGGCCACCGCGAGCTGTAATGACACCCCGACAATCATCAGCAGTCGATGCTTTAATTTTAATTAAAAAATGTAATGGAAGTAAATAATTTACAATGCATATGTTCCATCTGTTGATCCTTTAAAATCTTGTAAAAAAAAAAAACAGTGCTATCTGTTAAAGTATTTTTTAGTTTGACCTCTTGAAGGCAATTATTACTATTACCACTATTTTTTAGAGTTGAAAACCTTTTTTTTTGTTTGTTTTAATGACCTGCATCAACTATCCAAAACTGTTGTTAATACAATTTTAAAGTTTTTGTTAATTAATTCATTTCAGTTTATTTATATAGTGCCAACTGACAACACATATCATCTCAAGGCACTTTATAGAGACAATTCAACCAGATCATACAGTTAGATTGGTTCAATGTTTTCTATCTAGGGAGAACCAGCTGATTGCATCGACTTATTGACTCTCCATTAATCCCTTACACCAAGCATGCTTGTAGCGACAGTGGAGAGGAAAAATTCCCTTTTAACAGGAAGAAATCTCCAATAGAACCAGGCTTAGTGTGAGCGGCCATCTGCTGTTGCCCACTTGGGTTCAAAGAGACAGAAGCAGAGACACAGAAAGAAGCAGAGATACAAATTTAACACTTTTAAAAGGTTTCTTATCCAACTTGACACAGTTTGAGGGTTTATGGTTAGATGGACATGATAAGTGACAAAAAAAATAGTGTCCAAACCCACAGTTGAACCAAAATAAACATGAAAACGGAGGACATACATGTAGCTGCCGCTGTTACATCTGTAATCCACAATTTCATATTTGAAACAGTAACAGAAAGAGCGTAAAAGCAGAAGTTGTTGTGGTTTCTGATTGCATCTGCTGCTATTTCTTTTGTTACGGTAATTAACTAAAACAAACATTGGTAGGTGGGCTCTACGTGTCGCTTTACCCAATAAGCTCATACTGTAAGTTTCTTCTGAATGTCCTTCCTTTCCCACAACATATTCCATTGGACAACGCCCAGATTAATTTGTGTAGTGATAAATCTGATTGCTATATATTATTAATCTGGCTTGCCAGGTCAGAGTGAAATATCCTCAAGGACACAGGTCTCTTATTTGATTGTTTATGAAAACACTTACATTTGCATTTGTGGCTATGGGAAATAATGACAGTCCAAAAATAATGACTGGTTTTAAAAAAGAAATGTGTGGGTTTAATGTCACAGTATGTGAAATGATCCTCCAACTGGGAAGGAATCATCAGGTTGTCTGATGAAAATCTGATCGTCTTATATCAAGGTCGAAACAGGCCTCACTATGCCAACCACCTCGCAAGATAGTGACCTAATAGGAATGCAGAGGGGCCAATTACAAGAAATGAATGTCTGCACAGGTGAAGAAGACAGATTTAGAAGTAGTGTTGCTGAGATTCCTACAATTGATGATGAGGAAAAAAATAGAAACACATCAGGGCATATTAAAATGGAAAGATTGTAGTTAGACAAAAATCACCAACACATTTTTTTTTCATTTCTCAGTAGCATTGTTCGAATTAAATCGCATGCAGGGTTGCAGGGAAGTGCTTTTTTTTACCTAAAAATATTTGATCAAAATGACTTCTGTGAAATAAAAAAGATAATCTTAAAAAAAATAGAATAATATTTCATGTTGCTTTGGAAACTTCAAGGCTTGAGGCAAGTATAAAGATTTGAAATGCAACCTGTTGAAGATGTATGTACAATACCTTGATCTGTGGGGGTTGATTGGAACTCAATGGCACATCATGGTAGCAGAAATGTCACAATTATGATTGTCTTTATGTAAAGCAAGCAAAACTACTCTTTAAGCTTCTCAAATTCTAGATATCTGATAAAAATGAGCAGCTCTTTTTTGTGGTTATAAAAAATATTATACAACAGTAGTAGCCTTTAATTTCTGGGATAGTAGCTACTAAGTTCTGGTAAAAGTAAGTTCTATCAGAGTTCTACTAATAAATCTGAAGAATTCAAGAAAGCACCAGCTACGTTTATTGTTTTAATTACCTGGTTGGTTATATGAAAGAAACAGGGACACCCCTTGAAACCAGGAAAGTATTTGGTAAGTTTTGGAGGGTCAATAATAAGGTTTGATGGTAAGTACATTTCAAGCTATAGATCAGGGGCCTTCAACGTTTACCAGGCCAATCAAAACTTTCGCAACGCCCATGCAGTACCTCTGTGGACCCCCTATGGGGTTGCGGACCCCCTGTTGAACACCTACACTCTGGAAAGTATCACGGATAATTTGAAAAAAATATCTGGTAAGTGCAGAGAAAGTAACCAATATGTTTCAGGTCAATTCCAGGAATGTATCTATAAAGTTCCATTAAGAAACTTGTTTTATTTATAAGAAAATAGTGTCTGAGTTTTAGAAAACATAATGTAATTCAGCCAAGCTTTTGTCATTCCTCTTATTTATTTGTCCTTTTAGAATCTAATACTCCAAAGTCTGGTCAACCATTTCATCTAGTAATTTCTCATCCCAAGCTGAAAGACGGTGAGATCATTTTGGTTTACCTCTTTTTCTAAAGTAATAAAGATAAAAAATGTTCAGCGCTTAAGGCACTATGACAGTACAGAAGAAATACGACTTAGGGAAATGTCTATCACAGCAGGAGGTTAATTCAAAGTCACCAGGAATCATGTTTAGAATGTAATTCTATTCTTCTGGATGATCCCACTAAGTCCATGGGTGAATAATTTTTCTGAGGGTTCAGTCTACATACAGCATGTTAAATACACCTGCAGACACACAAGGACACAAATAAGATAGAGACCAGGGACAGAAACGAGGAGGGTGCCCTTGAACAGAATTAAATGTTTTTTCTTCTCCATGAAATAAAAAAGAAAGCCAGTAGCGGACAGCAGCAACAGAATGCAGGCCCCATGGCATTAGAGAAAAACACAACCAATCTACATAACGGGATAAAAAGGAAACACAAAAAAGTAAAACATCCTTTAATGATGAAAAAATTAGAGCTTACAAATTAATTTAAAGGATTGAAAAACAACACATCGCAATACGTTAGAGAATAAATCATTTAGGCTACTATAGCGTTTTGGTGTCCTGTGATGAGAGGTATTATGCAAAAACCTTTAATCACTCCACTATTAGTGAGGAAATTGCAAAATCTGTATGAATATGATTGTTTATTTAAAACTCCACCAAATAAAACAAAAGCATATTAAACATTTAAACCATACACACTTGAGCGCGCTCTCATATAAATCTATCAACCTGCTCATTCATAAAAGTCAGCAGTAAACTCTGCTACACTCTCCTGCTTCCTGTCTTGTTGAAACACCAGAACCCTCCTATCGTTCATGCTCTGCTTCAGCTCCTCCTAAATCTCACAGAAAGCATGAAGTCTGTTTCTACCACACACAGAGCTTTGTGCTTCATTTCAAAGCATTCATTTCTAACTAATTAGCCTCTCTCTGTTTCCCAGGGCTCGTGCCTTCCACAATTAGATAAGCCTGCTCGACTTCGCTCCAGGAGAGAAAATTGCAATACTATTATGAAATGGATCTGGTTTGTAAGACTTACTGCTTCCACGTGGAGAGCATGCTCGTCAGGTTCTGGGAAACTTTGGATGACTCAAAATCAAAGAAAGG